AGAGAGAGAGAGAGAGAGAGAGAGAGAGAGAGAGAGAGAGCAAGCAAAGGTTGATTGAGAGCGATAGTTCGAGGAGCAGGTGCTTTCTTGTACTGATGTGTAAGTAGCAACTACGTCGAAGAAAGAAATGAATCCCAGGCCTGACTGCCTTCTGTTCTTCTTGAAAAATTTCTTTGCTCTCGGGTCAAACAATAAGCTGCAGAACCGGCTTAGAGTCCCCAAGCTTCAACGTTCCCAACTCTTCAATTTCTGAAAAGCTCGCAGCTCGAAAACAAGTGCTTTTAGTTTTGACCTCAGGACAGAGCAGAAGTGAAAAAACTACCCTGCCTTCCAAAACTAGAAAAGTCTTATCAACCGCTTCAACATACTACTTGCAACATTTCACCGCCTCCAATCCTCAGAAGTCGTTCTGGTCCGACGATAATCCGGTGCCTTAACTTTGCCAATGGGCATCTGTGCCTTCAAGGGTGTGGGTGAGCTCACTGGTCGTGTTATCTGTACTGTCTGTTCCGTATCACGTGCTGTGTTTACTTAATGCTAATCTCTAGATGAGACGGGCTAGAGAGATGTAGTGCCAGTGATGGAGCGAGTAGAGACAGTAGAGACCAGACCGATGTGATCTACAATGGATCGAGAACTGAAATGAAGTGACTTGTCGATGTCAATTCTAAAGGACTGAGAACTGAAGGTACAATCCTTTCATATTTTTTTGAGTCAAACTCTTCGTTCTTGCAGAGGAACCCTTGACGCACCCTTGATCCTTCTGCCACCACGAACTCGTGCCTAATCATCTAGTTTCACGGATCCCCACTTCATTAAATACCAAATAACCTTACCGGATTACTGGGTGTGAGCCCGAAGCCGTCCAGGAAGCACGAATGGGAGAATCAAAACTGCAGAAGACTCCACGTCCTACCACTAAAAAGAACTCTCTCACGAGTTTGTAAGCAGCCATGCCAACCGTTTTGCAGGAGGAGCCACACCGGCTGTCAAACCTGTAGTTCCTCCTGTTTCGGCTTCTTCCTTGACGATCAATCCCTCACAGCAACCACAATCTCCTAGCTCAGAAGTGAAACATCTCGCTCTCGCTCGCCATCGACAACTTCCACCTTCCCTCGGCTACCTCCCACCTTCACCTTGCCCGTAATAATCAGTGCTATGTTATTGAGCTACAAGCACGCATTTATGTAGCGGGAAACGAATATCATCAGATGCTTCCCAACGTCTTCTTCTTCCGCTACGTATCTCATGCGACTTGTTCGTTACCAACCTTTGAGTGGGAGGGAAGAGAGAAACGCGTTGAGGACGTGGCAGAGCCACGCGGTGCATTCTCCAGTCTGAAACACGACATAGCCCCTTCACACAATACTTTTCCGGTCGGCCGCTCCCCGCCATCTTGACCTCACGGAACTTGGTTGCCCATGTCGATCCCACTGATCAGCTCTCTCTGGGTGTCCTGTCTTCAAACTGTACAACATCTCCCTATCCGATCTTTCCCTTTCCCGTTCTGCTCGCGGCGTATCCCATATTGTTCTACTTAGGGTAATCTATAGATGAGAGAGGACAGAGAAATGCCGATGTCAATGGTTACGGTGTATATTCATGACGATTAGATCTACCTTCTCGGACCACGATCAGCACCTAGAGAACCCATTTTATCTAACTTTCCCACAAGCATAGAGACATTTTTTGCTTTGAGTTGCTCCAAATTCTTACTCCTTCCATAACCAAAGAAAGGTGATTAGATATGTCAGTGATGATGTCAATTTTTGAGCTCTTTTATGCCGATATACTTTTGATTTCCGGGGTGCTTTATGTGATTGGAAAATGATATTTATTATTATTGGGAAATATTTTGGTCCGCTATTCTCAGATGCACGGATATAAAGCCGAAGTCAAGGAAGTTTTAAATTGAAGAAATGGTGTTACCTCGCATTACATAGCCTGGGAACTAGGACAGGAGATAACCGGCTGAGCAATTTGCCTAGAAGTGACAGAATGGGGGTGAAAGAATCACCTGCTGATTGCTTCCAGAACTGAGCTTGCCCATCTACCGTTTATGATCATTCTAAGTTGGTTTGAAGCTTGGTATACGGCAACTGGTAAGTGAGGGGCTCGAGCTTGTCTAAGCTTACCATAATCGTGATATATGCAACTGATTGGCGATGTTCCAGGGAGGAGACTCTGTTTTACCTATTCGAGGAATATCTTCTCAGGTTCCTTCATCAAGTTCTGGAGAAGGTGCTCTGGAGAAAGTAACGGCAGTCATCATATCCATATACAGTAGCGCTCAAATGTCTTCGGTGAAATGCTTTGACACATTTTCGTTCATAACTTTTTTCTTAGTAGACCGAATCGCGCGAAATCTGGATATGTTTAACTAGAGCATATTTTACCCTATCCAACACTATTTGACTGCGAAGCTGCAATATCCACTGATAGAGCAAAGTGTTTGTTGCGGTGGCAGATTTTGTTAAAAGTAAAGTTGTTGACGTCTGCACTTATTCACACCTTATGTGCGTTTTTCTCATCTATTGTGTTCGGCATTATCGCTCGTACACTTCAGACATGACAAAAAGAAAAGAGATTCTAGATGGACCATCATCTGTATTTTCAGTCGATTTTATGTTCATGCTCTTTGGAATATCTGGAACTTAATCAGACTGCAAGTTAATATTGGTAAAT